TGACAAGTGTTATGCATTACATGGTCGTCCTACTCGATCTACTGCAGTTGCTCAGACTGATTTTTCCCCACCTTTATCTGCTAAGGATCCTCCTTCTTCTATTTCATTAGACACACCTGCTATGTTCAACAAATTTCTCAAATGGTATAAGGATCAACAGTCTTCTAGTTCCACTGTGTCTGTCGCACACACAGGTACATCTTTTGTTGGTCTGACCCAATCTTCTTCTAGTCCTTGGGTTTTTGATTCAGGAGTCACTGATCATATTACTGGTAACAAATCTTTGTTCTCCTCTTTATCCTCTCCTGATCCTTTACCTTTTGTTACACTAGCTGATGGCTCTAGAGTATCATCTCATGGTGTTGGAACTGTTAAACTTTTCTCTTCTTTAACCATTGATAATGTTCTTTATGTCCCTGAGTCTCCTTTTAACCTGTTATCCATCAGTCGTCTAACTCGTTCTCTTGATTGTGTTGTTTCTTTTACCAACAATTCTGTGTGTTTACAGGACCGGAGTTCGAAACAGGTGATTGGCACAGGATGTGAGTCTCATGGTCTTTATCATCTTCGTCCCTTTACACATGTTGGTGCAGTTATAGAGTCTCCCTCTCTTCTTCATGCTCAGTTAGGTCATCCAAGTCTTGCCAAGTTACAACAACTTGTCCCTGCCTTATCTAAATTGTCTAGTTTGGCATGTGAGTCGTGTCAATTAGGCAAGCATAGTCGTACTTCCTTTCCTCATAGTGTCACACGTGGTGTTTCGTCCCCTTTTGCCGTGGTTCACTCTGACATTTGGGGACCTAGCCGCGTTAAGTCTACTTTAGGTTTTCAATCCTTTGTTACTTTCATTGATGATTATTCCAGATGCACTTGGTTATTTTTGATGAAAAATCGTTCTGAATTATTTCATATCTTTCAAACTTTTTTCAATGAAATTCAAACTCAGTTCGGTGTTTCTATTAGAGTTTTGCGCAGTGATAATGATCATGAATATCTTTCTCATTCTTTTAAATAATTCATAGCTTCTCATGGTATTTTGCATCAAACTTCTTGTGCTTATACACCTCAACAAAATGGTGTAGCTGAACGTAAAAATAGACATCTTATTGAAACAACTCGCACTCTTTTAATTCATGGAGAGGTTCCTCAGCATTTTTGGGGTGATGCTCTTCTTACTGCGTGTTATCTTGTTAATCGCATGCCATCTTCGGTTCTAGATAATAAAATACCTCATTCCATTTTATTCCCTCATGAACCACTTCATCCTTTACCTCTAAAAGTTTTCGGGTCTACATGTTTTGTTCATAATTTTAGTTCTAGTCTTGACAAGCTTTATCCTAAATCACATAAATGTGTTTTCTTAGGGTTTACAAGATCACAAAAAGGATACAAATGTTTTTCTCCTTCTCTTAACCGTCATTTTGTGTTTGCAGATGTCACCTTTGATGAGTTCTCTTTTTATTTTAAAAGTCAATCTTCACCTCTGTCTCCATCTAATCTTGTCAACACTCCTAGTACATTTAATGTTCCTGTTGTTTGTGACCCTCTAACTGTGTCTTCTTCACCATTAGATTCTACTCCGCAGTCAGCTTCTTCTTCACTGCCTCTTCAGGTTTATAGTTGTCGAAACCAATCACAACCACCACCATGTGACTCTACTCAAGTGCCAACTACTCTGTCTCCTCCGGATGTGACACCTGAGTCTGACCTTCCCATTGCCCTCCGAAAAGGTATCCGTTCTACACGCAATCCCTCTCCTCATTATATTGGTTTGAGTTATCATCGATTGTCATTACCTTTTTATACATGTCTTTCCTCTCTTTCTTCTGTGACCATTCCAAAAACTGTCCGTGAAGCTTTAGCCCATCCTGGTTGGCGTCAGGCCATGTTAGATGAACTAAGTGCTCTTCATAATAGTGGAACTTGGGAATTGGTCTCGTTACCGTCTGGGAAATCTGTTGTTGGTTGCAGGTGGGTGTTTGCTATCAAAGTTGGACCTGATGGCACTATTGATCGCCTCAAAGCTCGTCTTGTGGCCAAAGGTTATACTCAAATTTTTGGGTTGGATTATGGAGATACCTTTTCCCCTGTGGCAAAGATGACTTCTGTTCGTTTATTTATCGCCATGGCCGCTCTTCAACAATGGCCTCTTTATCAACTAGATGTTAAAAATGCTTTCCTCAATGGTGATTTGCAAGAAGAAATCTATATGGAGCAACCTCCTGGGTTTGTTGCTCAGGGGGAGTCTTCTGGGATGGTATGTCGTCTTCACAAATCCCTATATGGCCTAAAACAGTCACCTAGGGCCTGGTTTGGAAAGTTTAGCAAGGTTGTTCAACATTTTGGTATGACTCGGTGTGAAGCAGATCACTCTGTCTTTTATCGACACTCAAGTGCTGGATGTGTTTACTTGATAGTATATGTTGATGACATCGTTCTTACAGGTAGTGACAACCATGACATCTCTCAGTTGAAACAACATCTCTGTCACCATTTTCAGACCAAAGATCTTGACAAACTTAGATATTTCTTGGGTATTGAGGTGACACAGTCCAATGATGGTATTGTTATATCTCAGAGGAAGTATGCCATGGATATTTTAGAGGAAACTAGGTTGATGAATTCAAAGTCTGTTGATACACCCATGGATCCCAATACTAAACTTTTACCAAATCAGGGGGAGTTTATACCTGATCCTGAGCAGTATAGAAGATTGGTTGGAAAATTGAATTATCTTACAGTTACTCGTCCTGACATTTCCTTTGCAGTCAGTGTGGTAAGCCAATTTCTTAATTCCCCATGTGAAGATCATTGGAATGCAATCATTCGTATCTTAAAGTATATTAAAGGATCTCCTGGAAAATGATTGTTATATGATTCTAATAACCATACAAGAGTTGTTTGTTACTCAGATGCTGATTGGGCAGGATCTCCTTCGGATAGAATATCTACATCTGGATATTGTGTCTCCATTGGTGGTAACTTGGTCTCATGGAAAAGTAAGAAACAAAGTGTTGTGGCAAGATCTAGTGCAGAAGCAGAATATAGAGCTATGGCCTCAGCTGCTTGTGAACTTGTTTGGCTCAAGCAATTGCTTAGAGAGTTACAATTTGGAGATGTCACTCAAATGTCACTTGTGTGTGACAATCAGGCTGCTCTTCATATTAGTTCTAATCCTGTCTTTCATGAAAAGACCAAACACATTGAGATTGACTGTCATTTCATTCGAGAAAAGATTATGTCTGGAGACATCAAGACTGAGTTTGTTAACTCAAGTGATCAGTTAGCAGATATTTTTACTAAATCTTTACGGGGTCCTAGAATTGATTATATTTGTAACAAGCTTGACACATACGATTTGTATGCTCCAGCTTGAGGAGGAGTGTTAGATATTGTTTAGATATTATTTAATATTGTTAAGATATTGTTAGATATTAACCATAATATCAAACAATAATATCTAACAATATCTTCTGTTTATTACTGTTACTTTCGATTACTCTTTTAGTTGTATCTCTCTACTATAAATAGACTATCCTATGTGTGATTTATACACAAGGGAGATTAATCCCAAACTCTATTTCTTCTATATTCAACAATATATAAGTAAATATTATTAAGTAATATTTTAGATTTAGATCAATAATTTTTATTGAATTTTGTTTAGTTTTACATTAATAGCGTTTCTTCGGATAAAATGCAATGAGAACTTTTCTAAGTAAAAAAAACAATGTTAATCACGATGATTAACAAGAGAAGTCTATCATTTTTTTAAATTACTTATATTTATAAATTTGATCCTTTTTTTTAAATATTAAAATTTAATGATCAATTGAATTTATATCAATCTAAATAAATATTATATATATATATATATATATATATATATATATATATATAATTCTAAATCTACTTAGTTTTTTTGTATAAAATATTATAAAAAAATTGTATAAATCAACTTATTATATTTTCATTCATTTATGTATCATATATTATTTTAATCTCAAAATTATTATGAAGACACGCTAGTGAATATTAAGCAATATAATTGCATGAAAAATACGAAAACACACACATATATAAATACAAAATAAATTGATGTACTAGGTAGACTCTGGATGGCATATAAATATTTGCCATGGATTAAAGTTTGTGCCATTAATTAAAAAAATATCATATTCTTGTAAGAAATTTAATCAAAAAAATAATTTATATGAAAAATATGAAAAGACCAAAAAATCAATTTCACATAATTGAAGACTTTATTTTAACAACGGAAAAAAAAATCAAACGTTCAATAATAAAAAAAACCATTAAACATTTGACAAAAAGTTCATCAACAAAATAATTTATTCAGAAAATTGAATTTATTAATATTTATTTGAAAGGTGATACTTAAAAAAAAAACATATTTCACACTTTAAATATTTAAATAAGTTTACATATTATATATATACGAAGGATAAGGATAATTTTTTTTAATTATTATTGTAAAAGAAAATTAATATTTTTTTCCTTTATATATATAATAATTAAAAATTTAGTTTTCATATTTATCATTCATATATATATATATATATATATATATATATATATATATATAATTAAAATAAATTATCATTATAAAAAGTAATCCTGAGATGAAAAATAAATCTTTAATTTTCAGTTCTTTTTTAGTGAATAGATTATATATATAATCACAAATTAAAATGTTTTATTATATTTAATATATTATAATTGAGGTAGAATGGTGATTTTTGAAATAAGTGAGGTTTTACGTATATTTTGCATTTGCAATTGTATCATAAACAAGCATAATAATACTAATCAAAATCAAGATATGTGGTAGGTGTGAGTTAGGGAACAAGTGCATTTTCTTTTTATTCGTAGTTGGTACATGTATTTGTGAGATAAAGATTAACAAATAACCATCAAATACTCTTTTAATTGTATAATACCAACGAAACAAATAATGATAACATATAGATAGGATTCTAAGACTAATTATTTGATGTAATTACTTCATGATCATGGTCTACCTTAAACCATTTATTAATACGATTGCGAGCTACAGTTACCTGCATGAGGCATAATAATGTGGTAAAGTCTGATATCACATCTTATTAAAAGGGAATGAGAGGAAAATGTAAATGAAAGAAATACCTGTATATCCCAATTAGTTTTGTAGGTGATTATAATAAGGACTATGGTTTGAATTAGTGTCCCAAACAACATTCCAATCCAAATACCCTAGAGAGAACAGGAGAGTTTGTGGAATAGATGAAATAGGAATGAAGTGCAATTTGAAAATGAAAGAAAAGAAGTACCTTGACTTGCAAGTGAATAATGTTAGCAAGTACTATTCCAACTGGAATACCAATGAAGTAATAACACCCTATGTTCACATATGCTACAATGCTCTGCCATCCTGCTCCAACAGCAACCCCTGCACAAATCATACAATTTATATCTTTCAGACTCTTAGACATGTTGTTTCAACAAATTATTAGAGGATTGTTGAAATTTGAATTCTTATGGTTATCATGTTAACAGAAAATTAAGTGAGAGAATCAAGTGAGTGCTGAATTTGTTAAATGGGTTTGAGATGCAACAATTGAAAGAGTAAGAAAAGAGTGAAAGAATATGTTGAAAAACTTCTAAGCATGGTCAATTAGGTGAGGTTGTTTGAGACAAATTTTCCCAATATAAGGATAGTGCAAAATTAAAAGTTTTATGGCCAATTTTAATTCTAATTTATTTTCATATTACTGGATGTAATTGTTATGAATTTTCTATTTTATGTAAAGGATGTTAAGGTAAAAAAAAAAATGTGTGCACTTTGCAACCCTAAAAATATTATGAAATCCAATACACATAAAGTAATAGGTTAAGGTCATAATAAGTTATAACTATCCTAATAATATGATATATTATACTTATGGATAAATTCTTTAGAGGGAAAAGCAATCAAAAAAGGGAACCAACAATAATGAAGTGAGACACGAAATACAAGGTGGATAAAAAGGCATATACAATACAATACAATTATGCTTGCCAAGTTTGTAAATAATCTCAATCTATAATTTAGGGAATCAACTTTATATTCTAAAGTCTAAAATTTTTAAACATCTGTATGACGGTTATTTTAGACTTTCTATATTGATTCTACAATCGATAGATCGAAGCGACATATAAAATATAGTTTTCTATATTAATTATTAAATAACTAACATAATAAATACTTATTATGTCAATTCTTAACATAATCGTCCTAAAAAAATTTGTGTTAAATATTTTTTACATTGTCATATTTCTCATAAACATTTATCAAACAATTTCAATGCAATAAATTTCAAAAATTAAACACAAGCATTATCCATGTACTGAAAAACAATTAAACATAAAATGTAAATATATTCACTTAAATTAGATGAAAAATCATTCATAAAAGAAAAAATTAATAATAATAATTACAATATAACAACATATTAGAACATTTCATTAAACCAAATCAAGAAATATAAATTAATATAGAAAAATGAGACAAAGATTTCATATTTTACCTTTATTGTAAATGAGGAAGAAACAAGATTGTGGGAAGTGGTGATTCAAGCATAAAGAAAATAAAAGTAAATAAATGTGATGAAGAGACAATGAAATAAAAGAAAGAAGAAGTTGAGTAGAGTTCTTTGACGTACAAGAGAAAAAATGAAAAAATGAGAAAGATGAAGAAGATAAAACGAAGCTGAAAATTTTAAACCTAAAAACTTTTTATGACGGTTTAAATTGAACTATTATAGTAAATATTTTCTATATCGGTTCAATTTTAACCGACATAAAAAGTGTCTCATATTTAAAATTGATGAAGTTACTTTCTATGTTAGTTCAAATTTGAATCGTCATAATAAATACTTATTATGACGGTTCAAAATTGAACCAATGTAGAATCTACTTACTATGACAGTTCAATTTTGAACCAACATAGAAAGTCATAAAAATAAGTTTTAATTATAAAATTACCATCGTCCAATCATGACAGATGAATTAGACCGTTATAATAAGTTGTCATAAAATATTATTTTTGTACTAGTGATATATGAGGTGTTTGAGACTCTTGATAAATAAAATACCAAATTATTTTCCTATCGGATATAATAGTGCAATTTTCTATTGATATAGTGATGACAAATGTCTTTGAAGCATAGGTAGACGAATGTGACCCAAGATACATTTTCTTGCAAAATAGTAAGTCATCAAATGAAATGTGAGCAAGTGAAGTCACTGGTACAAAATATGAAAACAACGATGTCTTTCAATGGTAATTATTATATAACCATAGTTGAAATGATATGGTGAAAAATTTAAAATTTAATCCAACATTTTAATGAAGATTATTAAACACATGTTGTTTTATATCACATGCGACGGTGATTTTATAAATAATTGTCATTATAAATGACATACAACGATAGTTACGTTTGACGATTGGTGTACAATAATCGTCAATGTATGCAACCTATGACATCATCATATGTTTGATATCTTGCTCAACTTCCATTTTTTTCTCATTTTTCCCGCACTCTCTTCACTCTCGTCCTTCTCTTCATCGTTGCATTGCCTGAAGTTCCTCACCCTCGTGTCACTCATCTCATTTCCTCATGTACCCCTCTCCCTCGTGGCCTTCCTCTCCTTTATTGCGTTCTCTTCTATTTCCTCTCCATCATGTGATGGTGGTGTTCGTAGTGGTTTTTTGTTGTTACTGGTGATGTTTGTGGTGGTTTCTTCCTCTACAATGACTGTATTCTCCCTTCCTCCATGCTAGTGGTACTAGATTGGTTAGTAATGGTGGGTTAGGGTTTGGGTGTCAGACTAGATAGTATTCATGGTGGTTGTGCTAGACAATAATGGTGGTTTGAGACAATGGTGGTTGTTGTGGTGGAATTGGTGATTGGTAATTATATTACTTTGCTTTTAAGTAAGTGTATAGAGCAGTTACTATGATATTCTGATGACCATGAGGAGTGAAAGTCTCCTAGGTACATTCCTTAACTGAAAAATCTTGCAACACAATCAAACTATGGTATATTGTATGTTTTATATAATTAATATTAATGAAAATAAAGAAATAATTACTTATAATCTATTTAATCGTAAGACATGAGTCCTTATAAGTATATTTGCCTGATTTTTAAGTCGAGCCTACTTTCACTTCTCATTACGTGAAGGTGGAGATGGCGAGTCAAGTGTAGAAACACCTGATGAAGATGCAAATCGTATTTTCTCCTTCTCCATGATAATTGTTTGTTCAAGTTTTCAATAACTCCCACGAAATAATAAGTGAAGGGTCACTTGTGTTTTGTTTCTAACACCCTGTCACCAAATACAAATAATGTAATGAATTAGTTAACTATAATTGTAATTATACTCTTAAAAAACAATTAAATGTATAATTACCTGTCATTTATCATATTGTCGAGTTTGAACAAACTTTGTCCAAGTTTCTTCACAAATTGTATATTTAGTACAAAAAATTTCATTACTCCATGTATTAAATACATAGTTGATTGTCAATTTATATTTAAACAGACACCATTTTGTTGTAAAGGATCCCTTAATTGTCATATCATCATTACTATCTTGATTATTGTCCATCACTTTGTAATGAGATAACCCACAAATTGGACAATTTTTTAGCTTTTCAAACTTATTTCTATATAAAATACAATCATTAAGGTATATGCATATATCTTTTTATACTCCATACACATTGGACAAAGTATCTTTTTTATTTCATAATTACGAGTGGATAGTGTATTTCTAGCGAAAACATATTCTTCAACATTTAAAATAATTCAGTGAAACTTTTATCTATCCACACTTTGATTGCTTTCAAATTCACCAATCTTAACACTATAGACAATAATAGGTCTCTCCGACATTTCCTGGCTTGGTATCCTTTCGCAAAATGTCCAACCTCACCATAATTGTAACACTTGTCCAAATAACAATCATTTGCATAATGATCATATTTGTCACACTTAAAACACTCAACATTATAGGTCGATGACTAACATCCTCTGCAATCACGTCCACTACCACATCAGTTTTGTTAATCTCCTTCTTTCTGCTCACCACCTTAACCTGCTCAACCTCAACCATTACATCCACATCCTCGAGTGTTTTGAGAGTAGAGAGTTTTCTCACCTGTCTTACACTAGAGCACTTGCATTATTGTCTCCTCCTTCTTCTTTTTCTTCTAATGTTCATTGGCTTTAAGAGAACCGACCAACTCTTTTATTATAAGTTCGGACAAGTCTTTTACTTGCTCTATTGTACACATTATGTTCTCAAAATCATTAGTTAATGATCTCAAGATTTTCTACAATTTATTCTCTAAAAAATGCCTCCCCATTCTAATTAAATTGTTTCACCATGATTTTTCAACACGCAAGACGTATTCGGAAACTCCTTCTAATTTCTTCATCTTCATACTCTCAAACTCGTTACGCAATATTTGTCGCCGAATTCGTGTGACTCGACCATTGTCCTTGTACTCTTTCTCCAATGCATCCCATGACTTCTTTCAGATTTGGCACTTTCTATTTTTTCTAGGATTGATTCAACAACAACTCAGTATAACATGTACAAGACTACATTATCTTTCTCACGCTTCTCTTTTAACGCTTTGTGTGTGACTATTGATAATCCTTCTCAAGTATTTTTGGATCTCAACAATGCTCTTATTTATAGACTCAAACTCGCATACTTGACTCCTTTGATTAATCGGGACAGAGTCACACTCCTTGTTAGACTAGTCATCACTCTTTTTCAGGCTCTCTAATGCTCAAACACTCAAACCCTAATTCTTGATACCAATTTAACAATAAAGATATTGAGGAAGTTAAATGTTATTGCTTATGTAATGTAAAAAGCTGAATGATACAATTGGATATTTATAGATTTTAGAATGAATTTTTTGAAATCCTAATATTAACTCTCTAGAATCAAAATAATAACTCTCGTAATCATAATATTAACTATCCATGATATATGTAAAATCAAAATATTCTAAATAATATTTAAACTATTATTTTTTATTTAATTTCGTCCAACAAGATTTAGTCTCTATGAGCAATGGTTATATCTATATGCTTTCAACATCAGTATCAAAACAATAACAACTGTATGGTAGGGAATAGGTTGCCGGTGTGGAACTTGGTGTCATAATAGTAGGCATAATTCTTGCAAATTAATCATGGAAAAACAATAGGACTCAGTTATTAAACTGTCAATTTAATCCAATATTCCACAAGTTATAAAGCATACCTGAGAGTACTGGTTGAATACTATTTAGTAATAAAGAAACTGCCAACAAAGGTGACAAATCTCCAACAGCAGCAGCTACATCTTCGTTTGAAGTAAACACATAAGCTACTCTTTCCCTTAAAAATAAGAAAAGTGCAAATAAGATAAACCCAATAGAAAAGGATGTAAGCACTGTCACAGCTATAGAGAACTTTGCAGCTCTGGAACTTCCTCTTCCAAGTTCATTTGCCACACGAACACTGCAAATTGAGAAAGATAAAAGCTAATATTCCACGCTAAACAAACAACAAATGGAAAATTAAATGGCAGTTTCAAAGAGCTTGACAATAACAATCTACAACAATAGAAAGGGAAAGGAAGTCATATTACCTTGCTGCAGACATGAAACCAAATGATATCATCAGTCCCCATCCGCTAATGTTAATGCTATAAACAATAAAAATCAATTTAAGCATGCCAATAGAGAATAACCCACTATAAATCTGGTCAACAACACAACTAACAACATAAAGTAGTTATCTTATGTTGTAAAAGTTACCATATAGATAGAGCATCAATTTGAACCTCGGCATTTTCCATGTTACCAGTCAAAAGAATCAATATTGTGTTGTACCATAACTCAAGACTGTGAAGTATACAACAATTTCCAAGTTAGTAAGCATGTATTCCGCTATCATGGCATTTCTAAAGATCATAAAACAAACCCTTTAGTTGATAGAGAATATCTAACCATAGCATGGCACCAGATGAGATGGAAAGCTTGATAACAGGCCAAAGATCTTTGAATGCTAAAACTGAGAAACCTTTCCATGTTTCAGGGCACCATCCACATGTAATAAATATTAGTTGACCAATATTTGGAATCCAGTATGCCAAAATTGTTGAAATCATTGCACCAGGAATCCCAAACTTGAACTGTATTGTGAATAGCCAAGAGAGGATCACATGAATGATTATTGAGAAAGCTGCCAAGAATGCAATAATGACATTCTTGCTTTGAGATTGTAGGAATGTCTGGCAATTGAATGAGACAATATAAGCAAATAAGACGGGAATTGACCATTGTGAAATGGTTCCAGCCACTTGTGTTATGCTTTCATCTTGGCCTAAGAGCGTCAAAATTGGGGTTGCGAAGATGAACAGTGGAAGAAGACATAAAGCAGTTGAGAATAAAACTATGCATGATCTTTGAAGATACACTCCCATCATGCCATATTCTTGTGCACCATATGCTTGTCCACAAAGTGTTGACATCGCACTCGACATTCCTAACTACAATTCTCAGTTGACATACACAAATGTGTTATTCACATGCCAATATCTTTTCACTGATTAATTGTAATGGTATATGAAGGTAGATATATACACATGATATCAGGAAAGCTACACTCATCAAATCGTATTGGCGCTGACAGTGCATTCTTAGTCGTCTCTCAACAACTGAATTGATCTCCTTTGTTATTAATGATTTGTTCCTTTCTTGTTGTGGATATGGAACTGTTTATGTACAGTTTTCATTATTACTCTCTTCCTTCTTACATAAGGGAAGTATGGTCTACTATATAATGATTGTATATACACATTCGACAGGTGCCACTTTTTAGTTCTTTCAGGATCATCGTAGGGATTCTCGCTTCTAAGTCAAATAACCTTTGACATGCCCTTATAGGAAAAAGGGATATAACATAAAAGTGGTAATTTTTAAAACTTCTTGGAGTGGAAAATGAAAAGAAACTTTGGCAAACTGTTTCCAATTCCTTCCAAATTGAAATAAATAATAAAAAAAACTATTCTTTTTCCCTTTTATTTGTTTTGAATTTTTATAATATATAAATTTTTTAAATATTAATAAAAATTATATTCAAAATAAAAATATTTTTTTATGATCCCCATCTTTATTGTTTTTTATTATTATATTAGAACTAGTATTCATTTGGTCGTGTTCATACACATTTCATTAAAATTGAGCTTGTCGACGCAGGAAAGAGATAAAACTTTCCGGTACTTATGAAAAAAAAAAAAAACTCATCTTTAGAACTATTAAACTCTGGTTCTACCCATATTTTTAAATTTGATTCGATCCTACACGTTTAATTATAAGTGTAAAGTTTTAATATGTATTTTACTTTTTTAAAATAAATAAAATATACGTTAATGATTAATTTAGTTTCTTTTGTAAATTTATTTTCTTTAATGATACTAAAAAACACTATTCAGATGAAATTTAAACTAAACTATTAAAATATTTTCACTTCTTTAATTAGATTTGTTTATTTAAATTAATTTTATAAAATTAATAATTTAAACTTTTTGTCATTTTTAGCGGGATTGCAAGTTTGACTAAAATTTTCAATCCATTTTGAATTAACAGAATCCTGCTCATTTTTTGAGTAGGTAATGGACTGGGCCAAAAGACTAATCGTTTGTCCTTGACGACTCACTAGCTAAATCTGGTGCACTTTCTCTCTCACTCGCTCAGTTTTCCCAGTTAGTTGATAGATAAATGGGTGAGTAAAAGAATTGGTATAACTAATCTGTAACAAAAATATTTATCATTGGTATGAAAGTAAACGCTTTCAAAATCTGGGGCAGAAGGAAAATGAAAATTTTGCGAGTAACAACATACCAGAATACCATTGGCGAAGCGTATGAGAACAGTGAAGACAAGGGAAAAAGCAGCGAGTTCTTTTGGACCAATATGACCAACAAAAGCCTGGCTTATAATGTTGATACCAAAGGTTGAGAATCTAGTGAAGATGGCTGGTGCTGCCACTATCCACATCACCTTGCTCTCTATCCACGCCCTCTTCACCAACGATGGTTCCTCTTCTTCATATTCCTCTTCTTCTGATGATGTTTTCTCTCTTCTCAGCAACAACTTCTTCAGATTCCCCTCCATTTTTCGAGCCTTGTTCTTGGGGTTTGTGGCTGAACAAAGACACAGATCAGACACGTACTCAACACCAATCGAAGTGCTAGTAACAGAGAGAATCTTGTATCACAATGGGTTAAAAATTTTGTTTTATTTTTTTATCTCGTGTAATATTATATCATATAATATTTTGGTGAAGATCCTGTTTTGTGGTCAACATCTACCATTTATAGGCTACAGTCGCTGAATTTAACTGCTAAATTTATTCGTCTGGGTGTGGGAAACGTGTTACTTAAATTATTGAATAGTGATCGCAAAAAGTCATGGAAAAAAAGGTCATGCTGCATGGACATTTTCACATGTTAATCACTCGATTCATCTCAACTATTTCTTTTTATCCTTTTTATAATTTATCATATCTACAATGTTTTTTCTTATTTTTCTTTTTAAAGGTATTAAATAGAATTCATGTTCATGTTTTTTTTTTTTTCAAATGGATGCAAGTAAATAATTGGAGGACATATTATCTTTGGGAGAGGGAATGAATACAAAGAAGAAGAAAAAATCGGTACATTTATGTCAGGGAAAAGTTTTACTAATACAAAGTATACAAATGATGAAGTGTTTAATAATGATTATTAGACCTTAGCTGTGTGTAATTTTATAATTTAAATAAATTTTTAATGATGGTTATCATATACATTATTGTTTATATTCAACAACAATTAATTATTGGTTATTTTTATTATTATTATTATATGTTTAATATATTGTTTAACTTTTTATTCTTTCCTTATTTGAATAATGCTTTTGTCACTATCCTTCTTCATTTTGTCAACGTGATTCCCTAAACAATTTATATAATCCAACAAGTTCAACTCAAGATTCAAAATAATAAATATATAATTTATGTATGATAATAAAATTAAAAATTAGTCACTTTCCTCCCTCTTTTTGTCATCTTGTTTGTGGTCGATGTTAATGGTTTAAGTATGTTATGATTTCTTATTCATGGATGTTGATAAGATCTTTTCATCTAGTAGTACATTAGGATGACATAACCTTAAAATTAAGGGTGAGATTCAAACAAAGAAAAACTTATGGTAGATGCTTAGACACAAAGAGATGAGAAAGGACGTAGTAAGCAACAAAATGCTTTGGAGAGTTGAAAATAAACGTAGATCAACATTTTGAACTTTTGTTGAATCCATGGGCAAGCAAGAGAGAGAACTTGGTGACATGAAACTTCTCCCTAAATAATTTGTATGGCCCAACAATCACATGCAACTTAAGGTTCAAAGTAACCAATATATAATTTATGTTTGGCAATAGAATTAAAGAATAATAACTAATAAGATTACAAAGTTTTCATTACAGGGCACATATTTTGTTAACATATTTTAAAAGGGGTTAAATATATAAGAGAATATAACTTCATCTTTAATATAAAATCTTAAGACTAGAGATGTTTTGGTATTTTCCACTTATATGTTATTCAACATCACTATTTTTATCCAATGTAGAACTTCAACTCATACTTGAATACTAATACTCACCATCAAGTGTGATTTCTTATACGTAGGAATACTCCCCCCTTCAAATGTGATTTCCTATATGTACAAACGTAAACATTGATTGACCACGAGTACTTTAATGATAAATCTTGCTAGGAAATACATATCTTAATGGGGACTACTACTAGTAAAACCATTCATATAAATGAGACATGTTTTGTGTAAATGATAACTCTTACGTTGTACTCAATTGAGTTGGTCACCAAACTAACCAAATTATGATATTACTATTAGCATATTAGCATCATTTAAAGGGGGTTAACAACGTTGTTAGCTTTAACCAAGGGATGCAAGATAACCATAAACGAAAATATGACTCCACCTTCAATCTAAAATCTTAGAGCAATAGATTTATGGATATTTTCTACTTATTTGTTATTCAAGTTCCTTATTTCTACCCAATATAGGATTTTAACTCACACTTGAATTCTAACATATTCTTCTTTATTCTAATTTTTTTCATATACCATTACATTGGTGCTTGCATTGAGTTATGGCAAAAAACACGTCTCAAAGAACTCTATTCCGACGTGAAACATTTGCTAGAAATGATGGAGACAAAAGAAAAGGAGTATCGTATTCGCTTTGAGACATGGGAATCAGCCATTGATGAACTGTCGCAACGTTTTTCACATGTGGAATCAACCTCATCTAACGTGTATTACCATTTACCCTTCTAAGTTAGGAATGTCAAACTAGATTTTCAAGATTCGATGGTACAAATGTGTTACAATAGACTTTTAAGGTTGAACATTTTTTGGGATATGATCATACACATGATAAAAAAAATTAACTTAGTCATCATTCACATGGACAAAGAAGTTGTCAATCAAATGATGTTTAGGCCCAATTTGTTTCTGACATAGGTGGATTTCACTTGAGTATTGGAGCTTGAATTTGGCCACTCTCCATATGAATATTCTGAATCTAATTTGTTTAAGCTCACTCAAGCAAGTTTCATACATGTAGACCCCAAATCTTGTCCGGCCTCAAAATAAAGAGCAGAAGACCTCCAATTCGAAGATGGGCAAGGCCTACAAGGTCCCTAGGATAGACTATTAGGCCCCATGTTAGAATAGGAAGACCTTTTTGTACAAAAAATAAGGATTTCTACCTTGAGGGTCGAGATCGCCGTCTCGCTTATCGGGACCGTCATCTCGCCATTTAGCAAGGTCGAGACTGTCGTCTCGTTTGGCGAGACGACCGTCTCGCCACTTGCTATGGCGAGACTGCGTTCCCGTTTGGCGAGACGGTCATCTCGCGCATTTGGCAAGTTGATACCGCCGTCCCGATTGGCGAGACGACCGTCTCGCCATTTGTTGAAGACGAGACCGCCGTCCCGAATGGCGAGACGGCCGTCTCGACCTTGGTAGGCGAGACGGCGGTCTCAACCTGATAGGCACGAATCCCTATAAAAGGAGAGTGCTCTCCCCTCCATTTCACAGAGTTCTTCCACTTCTCCTTCTAGCATTTCTTAGAATTCTTCTCCTAGAGTCCCTCCGAAGCATTTTTGGAGTTTTCTAAGTGTCTTTAGAGAGTTTTTATAGCGTTTCGAGAGAGAACGTTCGACATTGTAAGAGCGAAAGATTGTCAAAACGCGTCCTAATTTTCAAAGAATTAATCAAAGCCTGCTCCGGAGGTTTTCTTCACTCTCTCCCTCTCTTTTATCGCTTTATCATTTATATGTGCATTAACTAGGGTCATGTAGTCGTTATCTTTTAATTTTGCAAATGAAAGGGTAAAAGCGTCATTTTTAGTTTATTCACGAAATAACCGGTCTGTCATAGGGAACCTGAAAGGGGCGTTGTAGGGAAGTTAATACCTTCCCTACACGTAACTAACTCCCTTACCCAACTCTGGTTATAATGGTCAAAGTTCGTTTTTTGAAAACCAACGTTTTTTTTTCCTTTCTTCGATGTTTTCGATAAAAACATCGGTGGCAACTCCATAAGAACCCCCTTCGAAAATTTGCTTTTAGGTCTAGCCCGGTTATCGAACAATCTAAAAGCTCCCTTTCGAAAACCTCGCCCTTGGGTCCAGCCCAGTTATCGAACAACCCAAAGGCGTTGTAACACCACCCACATAAAACGCAAAAACGGGAAGTCTGAACCATCGCGGCGTTCCGACTGCCTTTTTTTACGGCGGCGACAATACATAATAATTATTGCATTTGATTCATTGTGCTTATTAATAGTGTGAAAGAGGTAAGGGATAATAACATAGACTTTATTATATTGTTTTATGGGAGGCTTAAAACAAATATATATTGTGATGTTATTGCTCAATTACCAAATTCTTTGATTTGATCAAACCATAGGAGAAGAAATATATGACTAAGCCTTAGGCCTACTTTATTCTTTACCAATCCAAAACATAAACCACAAACTCTTACCTACCTTTCAACCAAACACTAAAATATTCCAATTTACCACCATTACTTCTGAATCCTCCAAACCCTAACACGACCTTAAACTAGAGAACTCAAAATATTAAAAGAATTTCCTTTGTTGAAATGCAACGACGTAGCGAGAAAGGATTATGTTTTACGTGTCATGAAAAAATTTCTCTGATACATAAATGTCCTAATAAGTAGTAATTGTTTCTATAAATGGAAGAGGATCATATGGATAATCATATACCTAACCCTTTTGATATTATTGAAAATATGGAAATTTTAACATTGCAGGAACATCATTTGTTCTAGGACACTATTAGTGGCATGAAAATTTAGGTTTTTTTGGATTGTGGGAGTTTGGATAACTTTTTACAACCTCAATTAGCTAATTGTCTAAAGCTTCTAGTGAAACCAATTCCTAACTTTCAAGTATTGGAAGGGAATGGTAACACTTTAGTAATTGAAGGAATGACTACAGAATTAAAAGTAAAGAGTTAGGACTATACCTTAAAAATATTGTATATTTGCTTCCAGTTTCAAGTGTTGACTTGGTTTCGGGGGCTAATTAGTTAGCATAAGTTAGGCCTTACATTGCAAATTATAATAAGTTGACTCTAAAGTTTTTAACTAATAATAAATTTATTATCCTTCATGATGAACAAAGTAAATAATTGACTCAAATCCAATTTCATCAATTGCATAGAATTCTTCATACATAAGGTCCAATATTTGGGTCACAATTTTTGGTAAAGATGTGGTGATGGACAATGAAAAAAATACAAGCAATCTTGGTATGGCCAACTCCAATGAATCCGAAACAATCAAAAGGGTTTTTAGGACTAACAAGGTATTACAAAAAATTTATTAAAGTTTATGCATCTATAACGGCTACCTTGACCAATTTATTAAAGAAAGACAACTTCTTATGGGATATACAAGTTGTTATAACTTTTGAAAATTTGAAAAATAACTATTACAAAGGCTCATATGTTGGCTTTACCTGATTTTCCAAGACATTTATCTTAGAAACTGATGCCTATGGATGGGTGTTATACTAA